GTGTCCTGAATTCCCTCGATAAAAAACACGGAGAACTGAGTTGCTTAAGTTTAGGGTATTCTCAATCACTCTTATCTTCCGGATATCCTTAACTCAAGCTTAATGGTGTGCTTGACCTTTTCAAGCTACCGGTGTTTATATACTAGAGCCAAGAACCCAGGTATCTACTAGAGGGGACAACATATTTATAAGCTAAATATCTATCCAGGCCCCTCGTCATACACTCATAGATGCTATAAGCCCTGAGCATCCCTGATGTGAGGGATAAGCTGAAGAACTGTGTTCCTGCACACAATAGAGGCGCTCAACAGGAAGATTTGCAATGAGTGGATGATTGTAAAACCTTTTAACCAGGAGAATAGAGAGCCATATCTTTGTAAGATCACCAAGCTACTGAGAGCCCAAGACACTTCTTATTGTCCACGCTGTGTCTATTAGGCCCCCTGATGGCCAATAGCAGGTGTTCTTCTCATAGGCTTTACTGTTGTTGCTTTTCTGTGTCTGTGAATATTTCAATCTGAGAGACCTTATGAAGGCTGATCTGTGACCTGTGTCGCTTCTGGGTAGAAGCAGATAAGGGCAGTTGCACCGTCTGAAACGCCTTTTTCTCTGCTGCCATGGTGGGCGCAGCAGCATTGGTGCTTATAACATGTTGTGTAACCCGGCATTCCCAATATCTGAGCAAATGCAGGGAAAACCGCTGCTCTTGAAGATCACTTGGATGGATCTTTCTGGACCTTGAGTGATATTTGGAGGTTGTCACTGCAGCATACGTACCCCATGTTTACTGCATAAATTTTGAATATTATCCTACTTGTCTTTCAGTTACCTAAGCAATATAGTCTCTCTCAGGCGTCCTGACTCAAATAACCTCGAGCTACAGAGGGACTCAGAAGGGTGCTCCCTACATGAGCAAAATGGTACTTTTCATATTTGTTTCATAAGAACGGTGAAAAAATGAAAGAGTTGAGTGAAGGAAATCCTGAATTCCTATTTGTAAGCCTGTTTGTATGGTTGAATAAAGTGGTTTCAAGACATTTCCAGGCCCATTGACCTGAGGAAATAGCACTATGACCCCATTGCTAGCCTCCCTGCACTTTTATTAATTCCCTGAATGCTTCACTTCACATGTAAGTGGCTGGGGTCAGGCCAAAATCAAAGGTCATATGACAACTTGAGGCCAAGGGAATGCGTTCTGTGATCAGAGGGCTGGATCAGGGCAGGAAGGTGAGGGTACAAGTGCTGCTGGGTTTTGAGCAAGCCCAGGATGCCTGGCCCCAGGCCAAGAGGCCTGAGAGGATAGGAAGTGGAGTAGAGAAATGTGAGTTCTCCAAAGACTCAGTTCCAAAACAGAGTGTGGCTGGAGGACCTCATCAGGAGGCCTTATGGTAGAATAAACAACGTAGAACAGTCAGAAAAATTACTTAAAGTACAATGAGAATGGAGTTGGTCCTCTTATGTTAAAAGGTTTTATAAAACTAACATAATTGTAATAGTGTGTTACTAACACAGAAATAGATGGGCCAAATGTAAAGGTCACCAAATCCGGACCCTAGTATGTCTATACATATATGTCATATATGCATGATAAGAATAGATTGCCAAGGT